TTATTATTATTATTATTATTATTATTTTCTCGTTATTGATTGAATCTGTCATTAAAATAATTTAATATGCAATACTGGAATTATATATGTTGTATACGTATATGCATTATATATGTGTATATATATATGTGTGTGTGTCTATGCTACTTAGCATCCTTACCTGTAGGCAGAGGAAGTCTATGTTTCTGTCTCCACTTACTTCTCTGGAGCACTCGGCTGAAGATGAAGAGGAGCTGTCTTTGATCAAAGACAGTTTTTTATACTCTGATAACACCAGTCATCTCATACCTAGAAATTTCATTGTAGGGGCAGGAGGGAAAAGGAAGGAATATCCAGAGGAGGCCATGAGGATGACGCGAGGGCTGGAGCAGCTCTGCTGTGAGGACAGGCTGAGAGAGTTGGGGCTGTTCAGCCTGGAGAAGAGGAGGCTCCGGGGAGACCTTCTAGTGGCCTTCCAGTACTTGAAAGGTGCATGTAGGAAAGCTGGGGAAGAACTGTTCACAGGGCCAGGCAGCAATAGGACGAGGGGTAGTGATTTTACACTAGAAAAAGGCAGATTTAGGTTGGATATTAGGAAAGTTCTTCAATATGAGGGTGGTAGGTCATTGGAACAGGTTGCCCAGAGAGGTAGTGGAGGCTCCATCCCTGGAGATATTCAAGGTCAGACTTGATGGGACTCTGAAGCAACCTGCTCCAGTGAAGATGTCCCTGCTCCCTGCAGGGGGTTGGACTAGATGACCTTTGAAGGTCCCTTCCAACCCAATACATTCTATGATTCCATGAGTGAAGACACATATTGCACTGAAGAAAAAAAGGAGTAAAAATAAAAACAAAAGTAAGATTGCAAAGCACATGCATCAGGAGCCCAAATAAAATTTGCCCTGCTGGATTGTGAGTCAATAAATCTTGGTGCCTGGTAGTAAACAGCTTGAGCTGTGTCTCCCTTAATTTATGGATTATTACTATTTACGTAAACATGTTTTGCCAAAGCTGTGGGAGAGCCTCTCTCCCACTTTTTCCTGTCGCCTGTCTCAGCATGATAGAAGCATTTCCTACTCCGCATGACAGGCTGCAGTTCTGTCTCACCTATCAGAAAAGAAGATACTTGAACCATACAATAGAAAATAATGTATCTACAAGCCAATGCTTCCTGCTGGGACAACCTAAATTCCATCCACACGATGCTTCCTATGAGCTAGCATAGGCCTTCAGATGTACCTTGTCTGTACAGATTGGTAGCCTCGAGGATCTAAGTCAAATTTAGGCTGTCGGAATATGGCCAGGAGTGTTCTTCCCCACCTGGAGAATCAGCCTACACATCATTTTTATTGCTTCAGATGTCTTTTTACTGTACAGTTTTGCAGGTATTGCTGTCATGCCTGTCCATCTGTGCCTCTACCAAGAAAGCAGCCTGCTGCAGAGGTTTGGTTGTGTCTCCAAGCTCTGATACGCAACATCTGAGGATATGCCGTCTGCACACTCATGTACTCCAGGTCTTTGTGCTAATCACGGTCTCATCTGTTTTGGACAAGGTAAAACTCCAACACATAGGCATCCATGACCAATTGGTCCCTTCACTCCTATTATTCAGAATTAAGAGTCCTACATCAGAGTATAGTACTTGAACCTCACACCTGCACCCTCATGAATGAAACTGGAGTTTTGTTACTACATGTGTATTGTTAAATAGACAGAGGACAAGGATCAAGGTTTCATGCTGGACAACTTATTTTCCATAATGCTAAATTGCCAGCAAGCTTTTGGCCAAGGCCAACTAGCATCTCCACAGCAATGCCTAGGCACCAGGAGAACTTCTGTCTACCTAGCACACACCAAGGACTGCTTCCAATAGGAAGTTAGATTTGCGTCTCTTCCTCCTGTTCCAACACTATCCTAGCAGCTCTACAGCCTCAAAGCACTCCTCCACATCCTTCTGCCATGTCCCAAGGCACGTCACACATCTTCCAGGTTCGTACTGTACAAACAACAGTTTTATAGGCCATGACAGAGTTTTCCTGTTATATCAGGTATTTTGACATAAAAAAGACACAAAAATTACAGCAAAATATTTTGAGCCACAGTGCATTACATACAGGCTCGAGGAGACCCGCAGCACAAGCACCATTCAAGGTAGATGTGATGGATCTAGGCACTGGGTGTCAGTCCCCAGCCCTGTTCTGTTTTATGGTATAGACAGGGCTTGTATGGCCTACGCCCAGGGCCAGTGACGAGCAATCAGACTCATTTTTACTCTGTGTGCCTTCAAGTGAGGCAGAGCCTCACGTAACCCTGGTGTGGCAGATGAAATGAGTCTGGTGAAAAGCAGCTGATGCAAGTTCACACTGGCTGTCATAACTCAAAAATGAACAAGCAGTTTCTTCAAGGGGGGCTGCTTGTACCTAGACTGACCACGTTTCCTGAATACCAAAGGAAGTGCAAGAGACAACAGAAGTCAAGGGGGAGGGCGGCATGAGAAGAGCGGGCCATTTGTCCTCCCTCCCACACAGCCAGTAAGGCCTTTGCAAGCCGCTGTGCCAGCTTCTGACCATCATCAATATGTCAATTCTGCTTCTCAAAATCACAAGCCTACTTTGGGTTCGTGTACACACCTCCCGGGCATGTAACTGTGGGCAACTCTCCATTGGTATTGACAGCTGGTGCACTCAACAGCAACACACAGGGAGTAGCCAACACATTTCCCTTCCCACCAGCCCCCCGCGGCAGTGTCATATTGGACATTGCTGTAATGGAAAGGTTAAAAGAAACCTTGTTGAAAAGAGATGAGAAAGGATTGACTTTATGTTTAGACAGTGCCTAAGGCTGCAGCGGGACGGGCTTTGGGGGATGGAGAGCAGAAAGAGTGGTTGAAGCTGCGTCTCCTCTTCCTCTTGTTGGCAGAACAGTGTGAGGCTATTGGCTTGGTGGTGGCATCTCACCTTGCTTTTCCTTGTCTGGTTGGGAGACCCCCCCCAAGCTTGGAGCGTCTGTACATGGAATATGAAGAGGATGATGATATTTCCTTTGCAAAATGGATGAGCAGCTTCTGGGGCCACAACTTGATTGATGAGAATGAGAAAGAGGGTAGAGGCCACAAGAAACGTCAGGCACATCTCTTTAGTGAAAGGAGAGCCTCCCTTCCGGTAAGAGCTGCATGCAGTTTTCTCTGTATGTGCATGGTTTATGTACAAATATAAGTGCCACCCCCAGAGGTGGCACAGCCCTAGAGATCTGTGAGGATGAGTATGGTACACACCTTTCCGACTAAGTTCAGCTACTGGCAGCAGCTAGTTGCTTTTTGAACTTAGCTGCCTGCCAGCGTCAGGCATCTGGTGCCTTTGGCATGCAAGAAAACTGGCAGGCTCCAAGATAAGCAACGATAGGGCCAGAAATGTAAGGAGAAGGGTGTAGTAAGTGCCTAACTGTGTATCACCATGTTGTTCTGTCTGCTAAGCATGACCTGGCAGAGATCAAAACATTTTGGAAACTGGCACACAAACACTGGCTTAAATGAGTCTGTTTTCATGTGTAAAACTACATAAGCCTGTATGTATTCACACGGTTTGGACCTAATTTTGCAGTACCATCTTGAAGAAGTTGTATACTTTACTCCCTGGGATTTAGCTGTTGCAGGTGTAACTTCTAATTTAAGCTAGAGGATGCAGTCCCTCCTTGTTTAAAATATCTGATTCTGAATATTAGGATGCAAAACAGAACATTATGCTGTGAAGTAAGATTTTAAGGGAGAAGTACATTCTTTATTGTTAAACCAACAAAATAATTGGGAAAGGGGCAGGGTTCACACGCAGAGGCAGTTTTTTAAGGCACCTCACAGCTGTCTAACCTATTATCAAAATGAAGTTAAACTGAAAGCAGCTGTTTCCAGTCTGCACTTTACTTGAAGGCTGTTGCTTTTCTTTCAGCCAAAAAAACCCAAAATTTTACATGGTCCAAACCTGTCTCTTTTTTTCCAACTACACCAGTTGGCTTACCAAAGTTATTATGTTTCCTTACAAACCATTTTTTACTTATATCCTTAGTATATCCTTACTTATATCCTTATAATTATGTCTGCTAGCAAAGCAAATACTATTCTGTTGGGGAGAAACAGCTAATCTTTTCCAGACTTTTTTTTCTGCCATGCTATATTTTCACTTTGCAAGTTCTTCACTGGAGCTACCATGTTCTAAGCTGTGCGATTTTTCGTTTTCAAAAAATTCAACTAAGAAAAACAAAACAGACCTCTCTTTGAATTAATGGATGGGTTGGAGAGGTAACCTTCATTCATTAATTTCGGACTGATCAGCCACATTTGTTATTTACAGTAGTATTTCACCCTGGTCACAGATTGCAAGACAGACTCTGAGCTTAAGCTGTGCTGATGAATTCCATCAGAATGCCTGAAAACAGAATGTTTATTATTTTTTTGAATTAATTTTACTGTATTTTAATTTTGTCCTTCAGAGATTTACACATATGTGATTTCTTTAGGCCCCAATACAGACTGAAGAGTAGGAATATACTTTAAATCACTGTCTGTTCAGCAAGCTGCTGAACACATCTTCGTATATATCTGTGTGTGTATTCCTGTGTGTACACATGCATTTCATATGAAGCATGTTCTTCTATTCAGTTTGTTCAAAAGCCATTTAAATACTTAGCTAATAGCTATTCAAATACTTTGCTTTAGTTGCATCCCTGAATCAACACCTAGAACTTGGGCTAAGTTAGCTGATAGAAAGAGAAGACTGTGACTTTTAATATTACTGTTCAATGAGCTAAAGTTATCCTGTACACTTAATTATGTCTGGCCAGAAAGAACATCTCCTTGCCAAGAATAACACTTGCTATTGCACCTGGATGTGTGGTTCTTTACACAATTATTATAAATGATAACTACTGTAAGATTCATTATTACTAACGATAACTACTGTAAGATTCATTATTACTAACGATAACTACTGTAAGATTCATTATTACTAACGATAACTACTGTAAGATTCAAAACACAAGTGCTAGTTAAATATTGTCTTAATTTTATCAGAACAGTGCTTTTAATCAGGAGGATTAATCCTCCTGAGATCAGACTGTGTCTCTTTGGTAAGTTAATAGCTCCACAGCAGATCACAGTGTACCCTTTCTTCTCTGTCAATATCAGTAACACCACTGTCCTGGTGAAAATGAAGTCAGCAGGTTCTGACTGACACAGCTGTTGGTAAAAGGTCCTTGTGCAGATACAATGGTACTGCCCAAACAGCACTGCCAACATGCCTTGTTGCATATCCAGGGCTGGTATATGGTGCATCAGCAATAACGCAGTCCTGCCCACATGAACTGCATCTTCACCTGTTTTGGTATTGCATAGCAAAATGCTAGCAGTACAGCATAAAAGCTATTTTTGAGTAACACTGGAAATTGCTTTCAGCTCCAAATTGGTCTTTGTAGTTTTTCCTGTGCTGTAGAAAGACATTGAAGCCACTGCTCTCACCTCACACACAAAAACTCCTGTGGCATCCTGTCATGGTAGAGCCCCCCAAAATATGGATAAAGCTTTGTCGAACAACTCCCAAACCAACAATAATTTTTGGGGTTTTTTTCCCCAATATCTTAGTGTACCTCACAAACATTACTGACATGAGCTTCACAAAATACTTTTGCTACTGTCATTCCCATTTTTCAGAGGGGAAAAATTATATTCATCTTTCACTGGGTCACTGGCAAGACAGGCTAAAACTGAAAAACATCAGAGTTGTATACCTTGCTGTGGCCAACACTGAATGTGAAAACTGCCTGGGGGAGAACCAAGTCATCTGTTTTCATCTCCTTAGTTAACTTTTTCCCCTGGCAAACTTTTGAAACAGCAACTGTGATACCCTTTTTGAAGCCTCCAGCTACAACTTTCCTTGACACATTCTAGTTATCCTCCATCATTTTGGTTCAGGACAGTTTCTTACCTCCCAGACATTTTGTTGTGGGGAAAAGATAGGAGGCAGAGGATAGGAGACTGATAAGAGTTTTACAACCCTACAAATGAATCCACCTTCAAGTAGACATTGCTGTTCACAGCAAAAAATCTGATAAGAAACAGCTGAGAGTGGGAGCAGAGCAACTGACTGCTGTTTAAGTTACTAACATTTAATCTAAAGTCAGACCAACATCTACCACAATATTGTTACTACAGATCAGTTGGAGCATAGGCCAAAACATTTTTAAGGAATATATGCTTGGCTATAAGCTTCTTGGAAGGAAAGTAAGCTGTAGGGCAGCATCTGAATGTCAGATGTTCCAAAATATCTCTAAAGTACTGGGGTCATTGTGTAAACTTCAGCAAACAATGAACGCTTGTGCTGACACACTGAAGATTAATTTTCTTGCTGACAGCTGTGCAAGCCCTCAGATCAAGCCCAAAAGATGGAAGCAATTATCATGTCCCCGTCAGAAAATGAGAAAGAGAATAGGCAAATTATATTGACATCTATTTCTTGAGGTGTTTTTGTTTATATAGTTTTTGTGTGTTTTAGCTGGGCACTTAGCAAAAGATCAGCTGTTGTGTAAATAGGTACACTAAGCATGAGTGGCCTTTACACAAAGGTGCAAGCAGAGTACTAGTGATTTTTAGTGTGAGACAATATTTATTTCCAGGAAACAGTATATGTTGATACCATTAAAATGGCACACAAGACGTTCAGCTGGTTGAACTTGACATAGCATGTGTACTACTGTCCCTCAAGCACAATGTGATTGCTTTGATGCTTTTAAAAATAACAATACAATATGACCTTACAGAAATTACAGCTGTATTGATTGGTTTGAAACCAAAGTAAAAATAGTATGGCAGAAATCATTACCACTACTCTCAGAGGCAGTCCATAATACTAGTTACTGAAGTAAGCTTATGTCTGGAAAATAAATTGAACCAGTACTGTATGATCTGAAAACCCTTCAGTATTAGGTACTTCTGTCAGGTGTAAGATTTATTATTTTTAGCACCTCTCATCATGCCTGTCTAGCGTGATGTAACCACAACCACATGGACACACAGCCTCACTATTCAGAGGAAGGCTGTACAGGTCTCTGTTGTGCCGATACATTTATAATATGTATAATAATAATATATATTTTTAATTTATAATAAGCTGGGCCAGCATAAATGCAAATGTATACAGGAGATGTTTCGGGTCCCTTGCAGTCCAAGGTTTATAGATTCATGTAGCTACTATACCAAATTGGCTAAGCTTTCCACTGTTGTTTGTTTAAACCCCCCCCCCAAAAAAAAACAACAAAAAAAACACACACTCCCACACCTTCCCCAACAAACTGTACTCTAAGTGCAGGGTTTTCTCCTGGATTTTCTTAGAAAAAGCATTTCAGGATCTGTAAGATAGACCTTCAGTTGTTGTAAATCACAGCTCCCTTGCAGTCAGCAGAGCTTCTCAGTGTTACTCAGTGTCTGAAGGCTTAGCACTAGGCTAATGTGTATGAATTCAAACATGTAAGCAGCAGCTGGGTGCCTGGAGTGCCCTAACCTGACACCTGCAGGGATCTCATTTTCAGTTCCTCCCATCTCTTTGTCACAGTTTTCACTATCTGCATCTTACCAGTGTTCAACTACTCACCCTGAAATATCACCAACCGCTGGCAGGGTTTGGGACATGCCTGGCTCTACGTGGTGGCCTTCTCACCCATCTCTTCTACAGGTCTGTCTATTTCTAAAACCACGGATACATGACTCCACAGGACACAGCAGTTCTGTATCAGTTTAATGTCCTTTTCAGACATTCAGTTAAAGACAGCTGATGCAGATCAACAGCTTTTATCTGCATGTCAGTCCTGGGAAAATTGAACCATGTGGAAACTAAACAACTATCCCCTCTCCACTTTAGCCCTACAAGCATAATTGTAAGAAGCCTGTTTCCTACCATTTCTGTTGTAGAGATGTGTCCCTCAGTGCTCTGAAAGAGCTCCATCATCAGTTCAGGACAAATGTGCTCAAGAAACCAGCAGAAAATTCAGACCTGGACAATAGGTGCATCTTGAGTGCATATAGGTCATGTTGCGAATTTGACACAACTGGGCTAGAAATGGTCCCTGTCACACTCAAATTAACTCAAACATCTGGTAAGACCTGGAGCACTGGTGGGTCAAACCCAGTATCTGGCTCATCTGGCCACAAAAGGCTGGGTCTTTGCTTTTTGAGAGTCCTGCCCAGAACCTGCTGCCATATGTGAGGCCTGACTTTTGAGGTTATGAAGGGTCCCAGTTCATTTTAGTGTCAGTGGGCACTAAGAAGACCCAGCACACTTTACATTTGAAATGCTCATTTGAGTGCCGAAACTTAGATACTAAAAAACAGGAATTAAAGCAAATTCTGCTGCTGCCTCTGGAAAGCAAGCTCTTGGCAGTGTGGTTCTCTTGCACCTAGAAGGAAAGATACAGGAGTCTGGGCAAGGTCCTTCATTCTGCACCATTGTTCAGAGAGCACTCTGTGGCAGAGAGAACCTGCCCTGTGTGCTCTGCTTTAATATACAATACTCAAAAAAGACCTTTTGTTTTTCAGGCCAGGCTTTCCTCCCTCCAAACAGCACGACTTCATGCTTCTGCCAAAGGCTCATCTTCAGGCCATCTCAAGGGCTCCAAGGAATTTCAAGAAGACCAAGATGCCAAATGCCACTGCCACAGGAAGGCAAGCAGAACACCTTCAGGAGAAAGCTCATGCTCAGAGACAAGATCAAACTCCATCCAGGAATTTGCAGAGTCCTTTGAAAAGCAATTGCATCTCAAAAACAAACGCTCAGTTTCTTTGGTAGGTAACAACCAATTTAAGATCAATTCAGAAGAAAAAAACCCAACCAACAAGCAACGCAATTTTATCCCTGATGTAATTGCTGTGGCTTTGCCAGGGGAAGAGCAGAAATAAACTTGAACTAGAATTTTTCAGATTATGTGGTCCTGACAGTAGTGCAAACAAGGTTAAAGTAATAGTATTGTTAGTATGAGGATTGTTGATGTAGTGTTACCATCTAGACTTATTTAAAAATGTTTATCTTCAAAACAAGACACTGCACTGGCCGTGACAATGTTTTCAGAGGTTTCTATGGCTGTGCCAACAAAATGTGACAATATAAAACCAGATTTGCTTTACTTTTGCCATAAGACCCAGCTGTCTCTCACTGCCGCTGACCTGGTTTAACCATATACAGTGTTATCTGTGAGACTGCCAGACATCATAGTGGTTGAGAGCCTTTGTTCTTCCCCCATGGGCTCCATCATTCTCCTTCCCCCAATGTCACCACACAGTTGCAGCAGCAGCAGCAGCAGCCATTGCTATAAGTGGCTGAACATATTTTTTCTGTAAGGGCATGCAGCCAGCAAGGGAATTCTCTTTCTATTTCGTCTTTCTCTTCTCCCCATCATTCTGTCCTGAGGCACAAGCATTTCCTGTATGGTTAGTAGCCAACAAGCTTTTGTCTATGACAATTTAACACATTTTAATTATGATGATACTTACTATCTGGTATCATACAATGGAAGGAAGGGTAATAAACCCTAATTCACTTTTAAGTTTCAGAAGAACACTGTCAAATTAAGTTACCCTATTGAAAAAAGCTGTGCTTGCTCCCTTTGCAAACCTGTGCAGCAACAAGAGAGAAAAAAATATCTCTTTTCAATAAGCAGGATTATAACATGATCTGTCCCACAATTATCATCCTTGTGTGCCCAGTCCTCTAGGAATATGCAGAATAATGGTGATGACAACTCCGTTATGCAATTGTTAAGATTTTAAGTGCATTCTCTAATCTTCCTTTCCCCTTTTAGGAATTATGATTTATTTCATTTGGAACTTCACATTGCTTCATTTGCCAACCCTCACCAGTGGTTGTCTGGTTTATCATTTATCATTTCTCAAAAATGCCATGACTAGAAAGTTTGTGAGTGGGTAATAGTTGTGTGATAGGTATAGTGAGTATAATGCACTAAATATAGCTTCAGTTCCAGTTAAAAACATGGATTCTGGTACCCTTCTGTAATCTGCAGTGAGGTGTGCTGGGCTGTATTTTAATCTACTTTTCAAGTAGACCAAATTGTTGTCATTCCCCCAGTCACCACTGAAGTCTAGGAGATGTACAGCGTTTGAGAATCTTGAAGAACTGAGTGATAGGCTAGAGATCTGAAAGGAAATTTGGGAGTGGGCTTAAACTTGTAGCTACAAATGGAGCATTATTTTGCATGCAGAGCTCTGTGGGTGCAATTCAAGCCACCCTTTACATAACTGCATTGGTTAAAAGAAAAGTGGGGGAAAGGTAATCCCATTTAATCTCCTTCCCTGCATATTGCTTTTCTCTTATAAAAGTGGCTTTGAGGACACTTCATGACCTTCAGCACTTGTTTTCAATGAGGTCTTTGCAGCTAGCACTGAACAGCTTTCAGGCACATAAAGATGGATCATGTGAAAGGACAGAAACATGGAGTCTGGGCTGCAATCTGAGAGTCCCTCCCTTCTTCCCTCCTTTCTCCTCTCCCCCCTCAAGCCCCCCAGACAGGTCACCCTCCTACCATACATAGAGTATAGTTAAAAGCGTGTTGTCTCATGCTGAGTTTTAGAGTGACTGGCTGGGGCCTTGAATTTGACATGGACCATCATGTTAAAGCTGATCTGACTGAAGTAGGTGACTGGAATATTTAATTATACATTACTAGTGAAATAAAATAATGAGATATTGTTTTTCTTGTGGAAGTCACTTTTAATTCCCTCTATTTTTCTCCTGCCTTTTAGCAACCTGAAGGCATGAAGGAGAGAAGAGAAAGAGAGAGACTACATTTGAGAAAAAACAAGTCTCACAAGAAAATGGAAGAAAAATCAGAGCCAAGGAGAGAGCAGAATGAAGATGAAGGTTCAGAAGTTGCACCTGCAAACCACAACAAAGAGTTTCCATCACAAGCAAGCACTGAGAAAAGATATTTATGCTCAGGCAGCTAGAATGTGTTGGGATAATGAATTTTAACACTCTCCCTGAAGTGCAGAGGGAGCATTCTTGTTTTGTTTTGCCTAGAAGAGACCTGTTAGCTAGAACAAACCCTGACCAGTAAAATAAAAGTAAAATTCAACTGCATCATTGACATCATGTTACTACCTTCCTGTCTGTACTTTTTCCATTAGGAATGTGACCCCTGTCATAGGAGGAGTGTATCTGGAGCAAGATCCAAGTTATCAATGAACCACCCTGAGAGTTTCAGGAAGATTTAGCTTTGCAGCAGAACAGTGGTGGATGTGTTTGTTTAAAAGGAGGACATGTATGCATTACAGAGCTGTATAAAGTCATCCAAAGCCTTATGTTTCTCTTCTAATTTAAAAAGGGCTTATTGGTAGTTTTAGGAAGGAAAAGGTATGAATAAACTGCCACCTTCTTCCTGACCCTGACATGCACTTAGATTTGGCTTAGAAACAGATATCATTTTTCTTTTACATTCTCTCAACAACAAATTTACAGGGGTAATAGAAGAGAAGCCCCCGAGTTCTCTTCTGCACCTTCCTGCTGTCTCACTTCTCTCTGCTTTCCCTCATTGTCACTGGCAATATGACTCCTGCTTCTCCGGCACGCTCCAGTCCTCTCCCATGTCCCCTGTCCTGTTTTCCCAGCCACACAACTAGTTCTTTCTCCCAGCTTTAATGCCATCATCTTGTCTCTTTTGTGGCCTTCCCCCTCTATTTACTACATTGTAGCCCCAACTCGTAGCTAGCAATGTCTTTTTCTACATCTCTAGTCTTGCCCCGTTAAAATTTGAGCCTTGCTGAAAGTTCTCCAGTAAAAACAGAGATGTTCTGCCTCTCACCCTTCTATATAATCGCTTCAAGAGGTTTCCCACAGATGATGGATTGCAACTGTGTTCACTTTTCCCCTTTTCTAGAAGCAGGGCCAAACCAAGGGAATGGGAACTGTCTCTGTCTATGGTAAACAGGGCTTAGGAAAACTCTGTTTCTTCTGGATGAAGATCTAAACTCAGGTGTAAATCTCACCAACTATGAGAAAATCCACCTCCACATGCTCATAAACAGATACATACTCTTGCATTTCTCCTTCTTCAACATCTAAGTCTTCCCTGCAGAGAAGAACCCTGCCCTCTTTGAGAATAATTTCACCAGACCTAGTGTAGAGAAAGCCTGCTTTGGATAGGACAGTTAGAGTGAAGACTGATGAGGTCAGTGAGCAAAAGTCAAAGTCTGTTGGGTAGTCTTCCTGTGATTTTGTGTCATTAACAAATATATTATTTTACTTTAGAGCCTTAATTTTTAATGTTCAACATTTTAAAAGCTTAGGCTATCCTTAAAACTTTGTAACACTTAGTTCCATTAAAGGATTGTTTTTCTTTTTAAGTAGGGCTTTAGGGGATATATAAGAAAGCAATTGAACCCTTTTGCTGATGCTTGTAAATTGCTTCTTGCCTGGTAACATATATTATAAACTAATAAATCTGACTGAAATATGTTGTTCCTATGCATAGTTCCTCTCCTTCTCAATGCAGATTGGATTAAGTTCTTCCGTCAGCTAAAACTTCCTTGCAGATGGCTTTACTTCTATAGCCTTAATTTGAAGACTGTGTTACAACAGACCTGGATAGAAAGGGACGTGGTCAGCTATGCCTGAGTTCCTCAGCTCAAACCTCTCACTTACATCCTTTCACGTAGCAGCCTGCCCTCACATCTTGTGAGAACTGAATGCCGTAGCTGCACCAGCTTTGCCTGGATTTCAGAGCATCAATCTCCTCCTCCTGTTCTCCAGCCAGGTTAACCAAACAGGCCCAGCTGTATCGAAGCAGAATTTGCTAAAAGCTTGTATTCATGAGGCTAATGTGCTGGTTTTACACTACACCTGATGAAAACAAAACACTAAAAAGAGTTAAAATAGAAAACCCGTGTGTGCCTGCCTCCAACTTGCTGTTTACTATCTCCATCAAAGCACAGGCAAGTCTCAGTGCCACCGAGGCAGCCAGCAGGTCTGCCTGCAAACATCTCCTGTGTTTATCTCTAAACCCCATCTCACAAATGGGAGAGTTGGTCAGTGGTTACATACCTTCTGAACTGGCCCATCAGCCCCATGGTGTGGCTGTGAAAACAAGAGCTTTCAAATAACACCTTCAACACCATCCTCAAATCACTTAAAACTGTTTACTCAGAAGTGTTTCCTCTTGCTTCGTATCACACCTGATTGGACCAACAGCTCTTTCCAGTTTAGTCCCGTGCAGCCTGATACAATAGTATTACTTAGAAAGACTGAAACTTTAATGATAGAATGAAATCATTCTCCACAGAAATGAACAATTGTTTTGTAGGAGATCAGGCATTTGGGAAGGAAGGTAATCATCTGAAGAGCAGTCTGATTGGAATAACATGGCTGATATCTGTTTCCATAGAAAGTGGAATCGGGATGTATAAGCACTCAGAAAGACTTCAGAGGGTTTTCATTTTCACAGTAGGTCACTGGTTCAGTCATGACTGACATAAAGAATAGTCCCTGCCTTGATTCCCATCCCCAGTTCCCAGAGCAGCTGGGCTGGCTGTGGGCGTTTTTGGCACGCACCCCCATTCCTAGGCAAACACTATTTACTTTTTCTGCTCTTTCCAGAGTGAGCTGGCTACAAGTTGCATCAGAGTCCAAACTTTGGACATGAAGGAGGTCAGTTAGTGGGAAGCAATGACCAAAAAATATCATTTCCAAAATGCTCATTAACCTGAAACAGTTTTACAACAGAGGGGAACTAGCAGGACACTTCTGCTGTGGGCTGGCTATCGAAAGCTGATGTGACTCAGAGGCCTATGAAGGACATTTTAAACTTGCTGTGTCTCACAGGTGGGACACCATGCTCTAGTAAAACACTCATCTCTGTGGATCCTTCCCACTGCTTCGGGCTAAATAGAAAGTTCAACTGTTTAAGGCTTGATTCCAGCTACAGAAGAAGAAAGAAAACAAAACTTTACTTTGTGGATTAATGCATTACAAGGTTACTTTAAGTGTCGTAGCTTCTTACAGAGTTCAGAATCTAACTTTGAAGAAAAAAACAATTCCCAGCACCTTCTGCCTGTGTGTGTCATAAAAACATGCCCAGTGTTTAGGGAAAAGGTCAAAATATTTTTACAATTCTATGGACAGTGTAAATAAAAATCACACATTTGCTACAAAATAAATTGTCTACCAGTTATTTTACTTATCATTAAATGGCTAGTTAACATATATAGGCATTTTCCAGCAGAGGGAGTCTGTTGATATGGAGTGAGAATGTGCACTGTAGTCCACTGCAAGCACAAGTTTGAGATTAAAACTAATTACAGTGACAGTAGGAGACAACAGCAAAAAACCCATAACCAAGAGCACAGGACTGTATAGTCAAATTTTGCCCTGTGTTGTTCATATATGACTTTTGCTGATATGAAGGAAATCCATACACACTGAAACACATGGCAGAATTTAGTCTGGTATTAGAGACTGCGGTATTTACCCTATGGTCAGCTTGATCTCGCTCCTGAAACCCTGTATTGCTGAATCTCTAGTTGGCAGCTCCTCACTGCAGGTGTTTCCCAAATTGTCCTCTTGGTCTGCCCTCCATTTCCATGATGCAGCCCACACTCCCCTCCTTTACGGATTGGAGAGCTGCGGGTGTAGCCCTGCGTGCCCCCACCCACATGCAAATTGAATGCCCAGGCTGGAGGGAAGGGATAAGCAGAAACCCTCGTAAAGGGACGAAGTTCCCCATGACTGCTGCTTTCCTTGGAGTCAACGAGTGACCAACATCAGATGCAGCTCACCCAGCTCCTCCCCCGGGAGCTGCTCCTCCTCTACATCCAGCTGAGCTGCTCTTCATCGCTGTGGAAGTCCTGGGGTTAAGCAGCTTCCACCTCACACCCAGAAACTAAGGTGGATTGTCTGCTCACACTTCTCAAACCTTCCTCAGATACTTGCCTGTAGCTGATGAGCTGCTTCTGTAGGCCAAAATGCCGTATGATCACTAAGAGATCTGCTGCTCCCAGTGCTCGGTCTTGCTTTCTTTATTTTCAATGTTAAATACAAGAAAGCTTTTGGGAAGCTCTCCCCTAATCCTTACTGTAGGAAAGATAATGTATTTATTTCCCCAGGTTTATTCTGACAGAATAATTATATGTGATGCCAGAAGTTTCTCAGTGAGTAAAAGCAAAACCTTTTTTTTTCTTATAAGCAGCACATTTTCCTTCCAGAGTGTGTAAGTTATATTTAGCAATTCTACGCAGATTTCCATTAATATTTTGGTGACTCTTCTTTACTTCTCAGGTGTGCAGACTGACTTTTCAAACCCAGATCTCAGACTGCCTTAACTAGTAAAAAAAAAAATCTCTATTGCTCCTGTTCTCCTATGTCACCCAGAAAACAAAAAAAACCCCAAACCCAAACCACAAACATTACAGATACTTCTCATGTACAACATAGCTGAAGGTAAGCTGTGTTTTAAAATACATTTGAAATGTCTCTGTTCATCAAATGCAACCTCTGCTCTGCAACAGTCTGTAGCAAATTGAACCAAGTGACACATCCACCCATGTTTCAGCTGGTTCAGTTCAGAGTCTGACCCACACGAGGAGGTTTGTGCCACTTTGCTGGGCTGTGAACTGCGATGGCGAAGGGCAGGGACACACTTGTGTCCGTCAGCTTTGCTCTGGGGGTGCATCTGACAGCAGGACAGAAATAAGTGTCCAGGGAGCAGCAGGGAGTCTTAAACCACTCAGCTCATTTGCACAGTCAATGTGAGTTCGTCCTTGGCCTCCCACTATTATTTTAGAGGAAATCTGGAAATATAAAGCTGTACTGAACTTCATTTTTCAAATGCATGCAAATATGCCAATTGCAGGGGCATTACTCATGGTTGAGAAATGAAGCACAAATGGACATGTTGGCAGGATCAGTTCCTATGTTTTGTCAAACAAAGAAATACATTTGCTTAGAAACAAAAGGAGGTAAAACACCTAAATTTCTTAAAACAATCAAAGTAAGTCACAGGAATATCAAAACAAAGCTGACAGCAGATTATTTTTTTGTTGTTTTTTCCTTTCTTTTTCAATTGAAAGAGGATGTTCTGACTGGGAAC